ATTTTATTGAACTTTGCAGTAAACAACTTTTGGTTTGATTGACTTTTCTCTATTTTCTGTTTCATTGATTTCTGCTTGTGTCTTTATTATTTCCTCCCTTCACATTACTTTGGACTTAATTGCTTTTTCTTTTCCCAGTATCTTCTTAAGATTGAAGCTTAGATCATTTATCTGAAACTTTTCTTCCAATATAAACACTTATCGGTAGTAAAACTGACAATGAATTCAGCTTTATTTGTTTGAAAACCCTTACTGCTCCTTTTAAAAAGATACTACATTTTTTGTAAAATTCACGTTTTTCCTTTTCACTTGCAGTACTCTGAAGATGTCTATCTGGCATACTTCTGATGAGAAGTTACTCTTATGTAATGTTTCTTTTTCTTTGTCTTTAAGATTTTCTCTTTACTTTTAGTTTTTAGCAGTTTTATTTCTACAATGTGTCCTAGTATGTCTTTCTTTGTAATTACTCTACTTGTAGTTCTCTGAGCTTTCTAGAACTTTACTTTGTCGTTTTTCATTAAGTTTGAATAATTCTTAGTCATTTTTTCCTTTTAAATATCCTTCATTCTACTTCCTTTTTCCTCTTTCCTTCTTCCTTCTCCCTTCCTTCTTCCTCCTTCTTCCTTCTTCTTCTTCCCTTCTTTCTTAGAGACTATGTTTTGCTTTGTTACCTGTGCTGGTCTTGACCTCCTAGCCTCAAGCGATCCTTATACCTCAGCATCACTTGTTGCTGGGATTATAGGCATGAGCCATCATGCCCAGCTCTTAAATATTTTCCCTTCTCTTGTCTATCCTTACAGGACTCCAATTATACATTTTTAGATCATTTAATATTGTCCTCCAGTTCATGGATGCTCCTATTTCTTTTCACTCATTTTTTTGTTTGTGTTTTAGGCTTTATAATCTTCTAGCACACTGAATCTTGCTGTATCCAGTATACTGATGAATTCTTTAAAGGAATTCTTCAAATATGATAGCATATTTTTCTTATACACACACACACACATACATACACACATACATATATATATTTGTTTTATTTTTAGAGAATAGAGATGGTGTCTTGCTCTGTTGTCCAGGGTAAAGTGCAGCAGCTATTGATAGTTGTTCATAGTGCACTATAGCTTCGAACTCCTGGACTCAAGCAATCCTCTCACCTCAGCCTCCTGAATAGCTGGGATTACACACTTGTGCCACAGTGCCCAGCTCTAACATTATATTTTGTGCTTTTTTTAATCTCTGTAGCGATTTCCCATGTATTCATGCATGCTATCTACCTTTTCAGTTAACTCCTTTAATATATTAATCATAATTATTTTAAAGTTTCTGTCTGATATTTCCAACATTTGGGGCCATACTGGGGTCTGGGTCTGTTGACTACTTTATTTCTTGACAAAGTTATTATTTTCTTGCATTTTTATATGCCTTATATTTTTGAGCAAATGTAGAATATCTTGTGTAAACAACAGAGACTGAGTTAAATAGTATTTATACTCTGCAATGAGCATGTCATGTCTTTTTATAAGCCATTAGTGTGGGATATTGAGTCCATCTAGTTATTAAGTTGTACCAGGTTTGGATTTTATTGTTCTAGTTATGCTATAGGAAGGCCTAAAATTTCTTGTGCTGCCGTGACCTTTTTGAGCCTCACAGCTCCTCCAGAGTCTATGAGTTCCCATGCTCTTTTTTTAAAAGTTAATTAATTTATTTTTATTTTTATTTTAGCGTATCATGGGGGTACAAGTGTTAAGGTTACTTATATTGTCCATGCCCCCCTCCCCCCTCGAGTAAGAGCTTCAAGCATGTCCATCCCCCAAACATTGCACATCTTACTAGTTGTGGTTGTATACACCTATCCCGTCCCCCACCACCACCACCCTCCCAACACCCGATAAGTGTTACTCCTATATATGTCCACTTAGGTGTTGATCCGTTAATACCAATTTGCTGGTGAGTACATGTGGTGCTGGTTTTTCCATTCTTGAGATACTTCACTTAGTAGAATGGGTTCCAGCTTTATCCAGGAATATACAAGAGGTGCTATATCACCATTGTTTCTTAAAGCTGAGTAGTACTCCATGGTATACATATACCACATTTTATTAATCCACTCATGAATTGATGGGCATTTGGAGTTCCCATGCTCTTGACAGGTTTGTCCTCTATCCAACAGAACAGTTTTCCTACCTGGTTAGTTCCCCTAGCACTTCAGCCAGTCCTCAGCCTAGTGAGTTGCACTTTCCTGCCATTCTGCAGAATTATGCAAACAAGCCAGTCATATCCTCCAGTGAGAATCTTCTGCAGGAACCAAGGAACACCTTACCCTCTTGTTGTTATTACTAAGCCTTACATTCACACCCCTACTTACTGCTTCACTCTGTTCCCAAGTGTAACTGCCTTGTGGCCCAGCATGGTGTGCAGTGTCCTCTTCTCCTGAGCTGTGAGTTAATGTGACTAGTAAACTGCTTTCAATCTCATCTGTTTGGTTCCAGGTGCCCTGTGTTATGTGCTGTGTGTTTAGCCATCATGTACTGTTTGGGTGGTTGATCCCTCCCTCACCAACAGGATGAATTGGAGGTGATCCAAACAACCACAGACTTCAAATTCTTACATATGCTTACTATGGGGCCTGGAATGTTGAAAGGTACCCCCCACCCCAGTGTTCCTGTCCCAACCTCAGCAGCCCCTGTACCTCAGAGAGCCTGTGTCAGAGCTTTTGGCTTCAGAACCATTCTCAGCCTCCTAGCTTTACTCCTGCAAAATGGATGCCTTGTGCACTATCCTTTCTATCCCTGCTTAACACAGTTCTGAATGTAGGTCTTATACACATACATCTGAGTACAGAGATAAATCACAAGGGACTCATAGAAATACAATGTTTGGCTTTCCAGCTGTTGCAGTATAAGAAAGTAAACTAGATAGAAAGAAAGGAGAGTTAGCAGGCCCATATTTGGAGACAACAGAATCCATTTGACTGAATTAGTTTAAACAGGATGAAATTTATCACAGGGTATTAGAAGGCTAATGGGACCTCCAAGAGGGCCATGAATCCAGGTTTAGATGCTCCACAGCCAGGAACGGTGACGCCAAGAGTGCATCGGAATGGTGCCAATCCTTTGATGGCACCATTCTAGCAGACAGCCCATTACAGCATCTGCTGCCTCCACCACCAGTTTTGCTTAGTTCCTGCTCTACCTTGAGTCTTGTCAGTCAGTGCCTACATATCTAAGGTCTGTTCCTAGAACACTGTTCTATTTCTTACCAATTTTATATTGGCTACAATGCTTTTCATTATAATTGAAAGAAGCCATCTCTCCTTCCACTCAAAGTAGTAAACCAGACGTTCACCTTAATGTTCTGCCCTCCAAAGAGATCTCCCTTCTTCACTATGCTTCAGAGCCACTCCTGCATGGGGCTGAATTGCTGCAACAGTATATAATTCTACTTGGTGCCAGTATCACAGGCAAAGTCATCTGCCACATTCAGATTTTCTCCTCTTCATTGGTTATATCAGGGAACTTCTGTAAGTTTGGGAAACTCCCCTCCCAGGAAGCCAAAAATGAGAGTTGAGGGGAGAAATAAAATACTGCATCAGGAGTGGACACACTGGGACATGTGACTTGTGCCTTCATGACCTACCACTTCCCTTTAATAAGAGAGTCATGGTGCTACACACAGCCGATTTGGGCTATGGATAAGATAAAATACGGTTCATGATGAAATTAATGTTACATGGTCACTTTGCTTCCCTTTCTCAGGCTTCTAGGTAAATGCATGCCAGGCTTATTTCTCAAAAGAAGAATGATGATAGGAGCTCTTAGCTTGCCTAAGAGCCCTAGGGGACTATGCCATGACTGTCCTATGAGGTCTTACTGAAGGCTCTTTACACCATCTTTCAGACACTTTCAACTCCATTAGATGAACACATTGGATTTGAGAAAACTTTTGTTTTAGCTGCAATCCAGATGCCAGTGGTTGTTCCAATCTAGTCCTGCAAGGAGACCACATTTGTAACTACTGTTGGAATTGCTACCCAATTAAACTTAAAAAAAAAATCCCTTTCTCTAAAGTCCATCTGTTTTCTCTTCAGACCAAACAAGTGTGAGTTAAATGGGGAGGTGATAGGAATGACATGGATGTTATTCATGTGGGTCACAGGCAGACACCTAGATGCAATGAGTCTCAACAGTACTGTTTTAACTCCCTTATAGTCCATTAGGACAAGCTAGATGGAGTCAGAGTGAAGGGTGTGACAACTAAAAGATTGTGTTATCAGTCATTTGTATCATCATGACAGTTTGAGCTGCCCTCATTAGCATATTGGATGACTAAGCATCCCCCTTTACATGGGGACATCCTAAATGTGTATATTCTTTGGTCGTGAGTCTCATGAGCCAGAGCTCATTTGGCTATTTGTGAATATTGATGGAAAACAGCAAAGGCAAGCGTCCTATTTTTGTAATAGGACGCACACTTGGCTATGTTCTTATTTAGAGATTTAGGTTTTTATTTTATTTACAACAGAATAGGTCAAAAAAGAGTAATTTTGAAAAGAATGAGAAATATGCCAGAGACCAAATAACACCCAGTTGCAGCTGACATATTTAGAAGTTAAAGTAACTCAGGCCAAAGCTATTTAAATATAATTTCTAATACTGTGCTATAGCCCCTACCTGTAAACTGAGATCTTTCCCAAGTAAGACATGAAATATTATCAGTCATAATGTTTATAATTTATAATAAAATGGGAGGTGAGAAATGAGATACGTTGTATTAGAGTCTCTTACTGAATATAACTTGTTTGGGGTACCTTTTGCTAAGAATTAATTTAAATTTTCTCAAACATTTCTTCTAGAATGAATCTTCTATGTGGCTATTTCCTTCATTTTTTACAGAAATGGTTTTAAAGGATAGTACTTTCTATAGTATTAATAGCCTGTTTTCATTATCATGTTACTGTATGTTAACATATAGTATGTGTTATGTTCATATTTTTTCAGCTCCCTTGGAAATCATTGACTAGCATCATTGAATATTATTACATGTGGAAAACTACTGACAGATATGTGCAGCAGGTAATTTTCTCATAATACTACCAGTATGATTACATTAAAATGAACCTTACATTTTGATGTTTCTTAGCAGTATACTAATTTTAAATTTGCTTTGTTTGCCTCACATTTTCTAGACTTTTAAACTATATGACTTCATATCTTTAGGTTATTATTTTTTTAGTCTTAGTATTTCCTTAGCTTCAGCATTCATTATGATAAACATTTTGGAAAGATAACAGCGAAAGATACCACTGGAGAGGCATTATTTTCTTTGTATGTGACTGGTATTTTATCTGTTTGTGAGTATAGTTGATGGATATTGCCAAAGATGTGATGCTAGCACAAACTTCTTGATCAAGTTATTTTTATGAAGAATTGAAATTTTAGACCAATGCCATTGAGGTATTTTAAAAAACCTTCTGAAACTTCTTTAAATAACGTTTGTGTGAATATATCCCCTGACCTTAACTGTAGTAGTCAGTCTTGATCGTTTGATGTTTTAGTACTACACATTAAGTTTTTTTCTCAAATTATTTCTAAAAATAGGAAATGATTTAAGTTTTGAATCTTTCTCAAATGCCCTAAGTTCAGGTAACTCTCTCAGTTACTTATTTTGAATAATAATTATACCTTTCAGGGAAAGTACATTTTCCTGAAATGACCTCAGTCAGTACTTGTTTTATATTCTTATAGTCACATGTCAGAACTATAAAGAAAGGCAAATATATTTAACACAGACATTATTTTTCCTAAGTATGTAGTTTGCACAGTGGCGAGTGTTAAATGCTGTAAAAGTACATTTTAAGAATCACTTTAAAAAGTGAGTTGTTGAGGTCATGAATTAGTGAATAGATACTCATGGCTTGTTGAAAAATTTCCAGTGTCAACATCATATATAATTCAAAAAGTGCCTATTTTAAACAACTTAGATAGAAATGAAGACCATATAGGTTGGAAACCTGTGTTATTTGAATCAAAATAGTCTCTAAAGTTGGTAGAGATGATGGCATTGAGGGTGGTTGAAAATTTGATAATATTCTTTCCAAAAATTTCAGCTCTGTTCTAAAAGTTTCAAGTTGTCCCCCTAAGTATTTTTGTTTTCTCCTCATTGGGAAAATGGAGGATAACCTTATATTCTAATTTGTCTTAATTTTGGACACTGACCATATGTTATTTTCTTTCCCAATTTGCCTTTGTTATTGTGCTAATCAGTGTCTGGTTTTAATTATATAATCTCCTTCCCATTCTTTTCCCTACATTTGGCTCATAACTGGTTACAGTAAAATCTTATAAGAGTTCAGTGAAGATTTAAAGTTTATTGCATATCTCCCAATATTTGAGGGTAAATGCTTATTTAATTGTACTTAGAATAGTTATAAACTCTTTCTGTTGCATGGATTTTGGAAACAAATCATCTCTGAATATTTTTCTAAAAGCAAGATCATGTAGTTTTTCTCTTCCAGAAAGGCAATTAAGAAATAAAGTAGGCCGGGCATGGTGGCTCACGCCTGTAATCCTAGCACTCTGGGAGGCCGAGATGGGCAGATTGCTCGAGGTCAGGAGTTTGAAACCAGCCTGAGCAAGAGCGAGACCCTGTCTCTACTATAAATACAAAGAAATTAATTTGCCAACTAAAATATATATATATAAAATTAGCCGGGCGTGGTGGCGCATGCCTGTAGTCCCAGCTACTCGGGAGGCTGAGGCAGCAGGATTGCTTGAGCCTAGGAGTTTGAGGTTGCTGTGAGCTAGGCTGAAGCCACGGCACTCACTGTAGCCAGGACAACAAAGCGAGACTGTGTCTCAAAAAAATAAATAAATAAATAAAGTAGAAGCTAAATTTGAAAAGTAAAAATGGTTATTTTAAAAGTTTTATTCACTCATGGTGGAATAGGAAATGAAGTCGCTGATTTCTACATTTTTTTAAATCTATGTCTAAAATGTTATTAATACTATAGTTCTATTCCTCAGAAACTAGTGATCTTTCTTAGAAGTTACGACAGTTTAAGAATATGTATATGTAAGAAAAGCTTGTCTTAAAATGGCAATTTTAAAATTATGCTTTAATATTTATTGTGAATTTTTAAGACAATGAAGTGGTAATAATTATTAGGCATTGCATGTAAAATATTCTTTCCATCTTTTGAATTAGAAACGTCTAAAAGCAGCAGAAGCTGAGAGTAAACTGAAACAAGTATATATCCCAACTTAGTAAGTAATTGAAATCTTTTAAACTAAACTATTTGTCAGTCTTAAACCTGTCATTACAAACATGTCATTTTTTTTCCAGTTTCAGCCAAATTTGAATTTTTTTGTTTATCTTTCTTCCTCTGCAAAGCACAAGACTTGCTTTCTATTATGCCACTACAAGGATTTTTTCTTTTTAGAAAAGAAAGAGGGCCAGGTGCAGTTGCTTACACCTGTAATCCTAGCACTCTGGGAGGCCAAGGCAGAAGGATTGCTTTAGCTTAGTAGTTCGAGACCAGCCTCAGCAAGAGTGAGACCCTGTCTCTACTAAAAATAGAAAAATTAGCTGTGCATTGTGACCTAGGCCTGTAGTCCCAGCTACTCTGAAAAAGGCAGGATGATCACTTGAGCCCTGGAGTTTGAGGTTGCAGTGAGCTATGATGGCACCAGTGCACTCTATCCAGGTGACAGAGCAAGATCCTGTCTCGGTGGGGTGAGGGGAAGGGGAAAGAAAAAGGTCCTCGTATAAGAAACCTCAAGTAGACAAATTAAAGGACTAGAAGAACAATGCCATGGGGCTGTACTTCTATCAGAGCTTCAGGGAAAGTGTCAGAAAATTATCCTATGAAACTGTATTATAGCAAATGTGTTTCAGAAAGCTAGCAAGTTTTGAAACATCTACCTTATAGAATCAATTTCATTTGCGTACTACACATTGCCCTTTGAGATTTGTTGTTTATTTGGTTGAGGATTTAATATTGTTTTCTTGGTTCTGATCATAATTAGAATCCTACTTTGTAAATGTTTAATAAATAAAGGATAGGTTTCAGTTTTCAGGTGTCTAGCATTCTGTCATTATTATCCTTTGGGCTTAGAAATCATTGTCATGTCAAAGTCAATGCCACTTTTCATTTGTTTTAATTGAATTATGCCCATTTGCTGAGATCTTCAGGGTTTGAGCCTTCATTTATTCAAGAAAAATTATTTTATTTAGCACCATATGTATATAGTGCTACCCTAGATTCTTTTGGGATTAAAATGAAATTTATTATAAAATTCTGTGTACTGCTCCAAGATTTTCTACTCTTTAAGCTAAGTACAAGTTTTTTAATACCTAGCCTTTTATTTACTGAATTTTGATATTTTACATAATACATTTTTTATGTATATATAGGAGGCCTCATGGACAATGAATTGTGAACCAATTAATTAGATATATTTGTCTTCATATTAATCTTTTACCTCAAGGCTGACAATTTTAATTTTTGAAACATGTAATGTATAGGGTTCATAATTTTTATGCAGGGCTATAATATCCCTTCTACAGAGTAGTTTCTAGTTCCTATAAAATTGTTAATGTATGTTTTATTTGACTAATTTATAAAAGAGCCACTCCCCAACAAAATACTGTTATGATTCATATATGTCTTAAATTTTCAAAAGCAAGCATACCAGCTTTCTTGTATGGTACTTGCCTCATGAAAGGAAAAGTACATTTAACAAGTTTTAATCAGATAACCCAGGTAATTAATTTTCCTGAGCCTCATGATGACTTTGGAGTCTTGATCTAAGTAAACTATGGTCTGCACATTAAATCTGACCTACCACCTATTTTTATAAACAAAAATTGTTTATAAAACAATTATTGGAGCACAGATATGCTCATTTGTTTATGTATTGTCTAAGCCTGCTTTCATACTACAATTCAGAATTCGTGGTTGCGACAGGATTATATTACCTACAAAGCTGAAAATATTTTCTGTAATCTGTCCTTTACAAAAAAATTTTTCTAACTCCTGATCTAACTGAATGATTTTTAGAGAGCAAGACAATTTCTAATGATACTTTTAAGAAAGTAGTATGAATTATGTATATAGATAAAAGATAATACAACTGAGTAATGGAGTTGGATAAGAAACTGAACCCTTAGAAGAATTTTCAAATTAACTCTAAAATAGAATGTTTTTATAAACAAATAATAGATTCAGAATTATTTTATGCTGACGTTTTTTGAACCCAGCAGTCTCCTATATTCAAAGCATTCTTCAGCACTAGAAGTAGAAAGTTCTGGAAGCCAGGATGCTCTCCACTGGAGCTTACATTCTAGTGTGGGGGAGATGGACGGTAAATAGCTATAAGTCATGCAGTGTGGTGAGTACTGTGATGGAAAAGAATAACTTTTAGGAGAGTTTATACTAGGGAAAGATTCAGTTGACGCCGTAGAAAAGATTCCTTGAGACAGTGAGTTTGAGTGTACTTTGGAGGACGAGGTGGTGGAGGAAGTGGAAGAAGAAGAATTAACCAGGTAATGGAGGCTTCTAGGCCAATGGGATCCTGAGATGGGAAGGGTCAGAGCATAGTTGAGGATCAGAGAAAGGCCATGTGGCTGGTGTGAAAAGAGAGAGTGGTGAACCATGAGAAACTGGTGTGTAGACTAGAGCCAAGAGTTTATCCATCCGATGAACAGTTGAGTGGAGTTTAAATAAAGAAAAGTTGTGATCACATTAGCACTGTCCAATCACTGGCTATATGGTTTGGAGGATGGTTTGGGGAAGGGGGAATAAGAGTAGATACTGGGAGACCGGTTAGAAAGTTCTCGGGGAGGAAAGATGACACTAGCTTGACCTAGAGAAGTGGCCCTGGAAATAGCGCAGTATTTGGAGGTGGTGTCTTATATGGCATGCGAGGGAGCATCAAGCTTGATCCAGGTTTCTGGCTAGCAGTTAGGTGGATTGCCATGCTGTTCCTCAAGCTCAGAAATGATGACAGAGAATCAGGTTAGGGCATTTTGAGTCTACTTTATCCAAAAAGAGATGTTCGGTATGCTGTCAACATATATTGGATATATTGGTCTTAAACTCAGGGGAAAGGTCTGGGCTAGAGATACAAATTAATTGTGTTGGAAGCCATAGATACAGTTTCTGAGGGAAAGCAATAAGAAAAGGGCCTTGAGCTAGCCTTGAGTAAATCTAGTATTTATAGATCAGATAGAGTATGATAGCTAAGAAAAGATAGCCAGGTGAGTATGATATCACAGAAGCCAAGAGAGAAGTGTGTTTCAAGGAGGGAGAGAGATTAATACTGTCAGATGTTGGTGAAAATAGCCAGGGAATTTAGCAACATGGATGTCGCTTGGTGATCTTTGATGGAGCGATGAGGACTGCATATGAGCACAAGTACAGACAGTGGAGAAAGAAAGAGAAACGCTTAGATTTGAGGGCTAAGTTGAGATAAATTAGTCGAGTTTTGTTTGTTTTAATTTTTTAATTTTAATGATGGGTATATAATAATTGTATATATAGTAGAATTTTTTTTAAGTGGGAGAACTATTTGTTATATAAATGGTAATAAAGAGGTCCAGGAAAGGAAAATCAAGTATGTAAGCTTCTCAAGAGGGCAGGAGGGATAGAAGCACAGATGAAGGGAAGATAAAAGGAAAGGCAATTTTATATAATGTATCTTCCTATTTTTTAAGAGACAAGGTCTCACTATGTTGATCTCACTATGTTGATCAGGCTGGCTTTGAACTCCTGGGCTCAAGTGATCCTCCTGCCTTAGCCTCCTGAGTACCTAGGACTGTAGGCATGTACCACTTTGCCTGGCTTCAACACACATATTTTGCCCTGGGTTATACGTTAGAAATTTTTATATGCTTGGGAAATTTCTGGCTATTCATTTGACTTCAAGGGTAATCATTTCCCATCTATACATAATAGATTGTTTTAAAAATAGGAAATAGTAAATATTCCTGGAAATCTTAAGTCATTCTAAATCACCAATTTTCATTTTGTACATTTTCAGCTGAAAACTCTTTATAAGAAGAGTAACATTTTGTCTGATTTAAAATGTGTTTTAAGGCCGGGCGCGGTGGCTCACGCCTGTAATCCTAGCTCTCTGGGAGGCTGAGGTGGGTGGATTGCTCGAGGTCGGGAGTTCGAAACCAGCCTGAGCAAGAGCGAGACCCCGTCTCTACTATAAATAGAAAGAAACTAATAGGCCAACTAATATATATAAAAAAATTAGCCAGGCATGGTGGCTCATGCCTGTAGTCCCAGCTACTTGGGAGGCTGAGACAGAAGGATCGCTTGAGCCCAGGAGTTTGAGGTTGCTGTGACCTAGGCTGACGCCATGGCACTCACTCTAGCCTAGGCAACAAAGCGAGACTCTGTCTCAAAAAAAAAATAAAATAAAATAAAAATAAAATGTGTTTTAAAAACCAATTTGTCGGCCGGGCGCAGTAGCTCACGCCTGTAATCCTAGCACTCTGGGAGGCTGAGGCGGGCGGATTGCTCAAGGTCAGGAGTTCAAAACCAGCCTGAGCAAGAGCGAGACCCTGTCTCTATTATAAAATAGAAAGAAATTAATTGGCCAACTAATATATATAGAAAAAATTAGCCGGGCATGGTGGTGCATGCCTGTAGTCCCAGCTACTAGGGAAGCTGAGGCAGGAGGATTGCTTGAGGCCAGGAGTTTGAGGTTGCTGTGAGCTAGGCTGATGCCACAGCACTCACTCTAGCCTGGGCAACAAAGCAAGACTCTGTCTCAAAAAAAAAAAAAAACCAATTTGTCTTCAAAATACATTGCTGATGTAATAACCCTGTAGTATAGAATAGAGACCTCAGTGTATGCAGAGATTAAATGATTTCTTCAAGTTGCCACTTGGTTAGAGTGTCACCTGACAGTTGTAGTAATAATGCCCAAAAGAAAGACAGGTCATACCATCTTTACACTCTAGGGTTTGACTGGTGAATGGAAGTGTAGAAAGAGGAAAGAAGCCCTTGAGCCAACTGTCCGTGGCTCAAGGGCTTCAAGTGTCTTGATAGTTGTGACATCTCATTACTTCAACAGCCATAGAAAGATAGCATATAATCTGCATTTAGCATTCATTTCTAATAAATAATTTCTCAGTTTATTTCACTCATTTTCTGTGTGGTAAGCAGACACAAAAGGTCTTCTAGAATGAAGTTCCTTGAGGCCAGAGAATTTTGTTTATTAGACGTTGAAAAATATACGTTAAATGAATTATGAATTTATTGAGTACATACTATGTGTACCTGTGCAGTATTCTTGGGCGAGGCTTTTAAGCAGGGGAGGTAGCCTACCCTAGATAGGGAAAAGTGTTAGCCTCATTTGCACAGGAACAGGAAATACCAAGATGATCGAGCTATGTATTTCTGAGGACTGTTGATTTGGTCTCTGGGAAACTTACATGTAGACTTGTGGTAAATGTCTCTTTTTTCCTTCTAAAAAATATTTTCTTAGAAAAACCTCAAAGCACTGTCGTTGGTTTTTCTAACTTCAAATGGTACGTAGTCTTCCTTTAAAAATTCAAATGTAGAAGAAATAATCATCATGAGCAGCCAGAAGCTCCTGAAATACTAACTGACCGCTAAAGATAGGCCCTGTTCAATCCTGCAGTATTTCTGCTGAACATGTTGCTTTTGTGCAGCTCCCTGAGAGCTATTGTGTAGAGTCAGCAACTCTCATACCAGCAGCAGAAATGGGACGGTGGCTTTCTCTAAACAGAGCCACACTGCATTTAGTTTAATTTATTTGACCCCCACAATTATTTTATTTTTTCAGGAGAATTTATGATAAGTGATAAAGTTTAAAAACATGTCTCCTTCAAAAGTGTCAGAGGGTATACTAAGGAAATTGTATTTGCAGAGAAGAGATATAGCTATATTTATTTTGTAAGTGTCAGGCTCTTATAAGAGATTGGATTTTACACAGCCTTGTTTTATAAAGATGAATGTGCCTGGGCTCATTTTAACACTTTGCTTTTACCAGTTTATTTCTTCTTCAACAAGCATTTTTAAATGTTGATTTATGTTTAATTAAGATAAATTACTTCAGTAATGTGATATAGATCTTTTTGCCTTATTATACAAATCATTTTTTATCACTTCGCTTTACATTTCATTGAAAGCAGCAAACCAAATCCCAACCAAATATCCACCAGCAATGGCAAGCCTGGTGCTGTGAATGGAGCCGTGGGGGCCACGTTCCAGCCTCCGAATCCCCTTTTAGGGCGAGCCTGTGAGAGCTGCTATGGTAAGTTTTCTCCGACAAGACTTCATTTTCTCCTTTGAGGCCAGTTAAAGTCAGCTGAACATAGAGAACGGTTCTGGCACCTTAGAGTGGACGTTGTTGAGCAGCTTCTGGGAGGTGCGTGAGGTCAGCACAGTATGCCGCAGAGAGCAGAGGTCTCCTCAGCATGAGTGGATACCCACCCTGACCTTCTGTCTAGAGCACAGGGGCCGTTCACTGAATACTTGCATCCCATACACTAAAGCTAGACATCGGGTTCCCTTGATTTGCTTCTGTGGTTTGTTGGATATTCCATAGCAGCGTTTGCTAAACTGATCAGAGTCCTATTAGTTTTACACAAACCAGGGTCCCGTGATACATACCAAATCCCCTTTGGGAGTATCTCAGTATATTTTGGCAAATTAAAGCTCCAAATAATTCTGTAGGAAAGACCTGCATATGGATTAACAGCTATTTGTGCTTTTAGACCATGTCCCTTCATGGCACCAGTTTGGGATGCCCAGTTCTATGATATTTGTTTGCTTTTGGCCTCGGCACCCCAGTGTATTTATCTATGTTGGCAGTATTATATTTGCCCTGGGTGTCGGATGGGGTTGGTGAAATGAACTGAAATGAACTGTAGTTGATATACTTTATATGTTTATTTAAAATCTCAAGCAATAGTATACTTTCTTAATGGGACCTTGGTGACAGTATCATCTGTGTTTCCTGCCACTCAAGGTGGTCTGGGGTGGGAGAGGGAAGGAAACTGTTTATGGAGTCTACTTGGTGCTGAATTTGGCTCTTAGCAGCTCTTTGTGGGTAGATATGGCCTACTGCCTTCAGGACACAGGGATGAGAAGGCTTTGCAGCACTGCTCTGTACACTAGAACAGGCTTCGGCAGTAGAAAAGGCTGTAAAAACTAAAACATAATTCTCTCTCCTGATCTCAAGGAAAGTATGAGCCAGAGATTGCAGACGGCATGTAAATGGTACATGGGGAATTTGTCCAACCATTTTCTACACATAGGAGCACAAAGGGAAATAATTTGTGAAAAATTAGATTCTTTTGGTCAAGATTTTACATGGATAGCCTCATAAATGCCTTTGAAGTAGAAATTCTTGGATTTTTGAAGTTCATGTATATTTAAATGAAAATAAAAAGAATCCTGCATCCCAATGGTAGTGGCTTAATCTGTCTTATTTTTGATGTGCAAAACCCCCCTTATACTCACATATATTCCTTTAGATAATTATTCTGTCACTTTTATGCATACATGATAAACTATTTTTATTTTATAATTTTTATTTTAGATCCATGTATTACTAAATAATCTTCATAAAATATATCTTAATATAATATACATATAAGATTTTTATAGTAAGATAGACTTTGGTGTTTTCTATTTATCAAATGATACTTTTTAATTGAATTTGAATTATTTAAGGAGAAAGGCATTTATTGACTTATTAAAATGATGGCATGATTAGTTTGAGTAAAAATGTGTATTTTAATATAAATAATTTTATATTCAGAATTTAAAATAGATGCATGGCTTGATATTTAGGATTCTTAAAATTTGTGTTTATAAAAAACAGCTTGAGTTGTTTTATTAGTTTTAAGTCATAAGAGGAAAGGTTTTTAGGATTCTACTTGCAAGAAATCCTCTAAAAATAACACATGATGGGTACACAGTATTATTCCCAATAACTAAAAGGCGTCGTGGATATAATGGTATCTCTGTTTTCAACTTTAGTTCATGAAGTGTTAGTTGACCCCTTGATGCACTCTTTGAAAATTTTGATCTGATGAAGGTAACTTACAGATCAGAGGAAGAATATTTTAAGGCAAATTTAGAGAATTATAATTTTTATGTACCTCATTAACTTAATATTTCAACATCAGTGTGTTCTGTCTTAAACTTTGAATCCATCATGGGTATACCTTAAATGTCATATGCCAATAGTTTAAACTGCAAAATAAAAACTAACACTGGTTTTCAGTGCTCAGCCAAAAAGTGTTAAATCAGCAGAGTTCTACATATTAAGCATGTGGTATCAGCTGTACTACTCACTTGTTATGGATTTATAGTCTTAAAACGTATTGTTTTTAAAGAGAGATATTAAAATAAGTATTTTTCTATCGATTAAAATAAAGGAATGGAAACAGATACCTGTTTTTATTAGATTCCTGACTCTATCAATGAGGCCTCTCTGAACACTGAACACCTTAAATAAACCCTGAGGAGAGGGGACATTTTGAACCATAGGTTTGGAAACCTGGATTTAGATTTTAAACTCTAATAATAGTAATAATATCCTTCTGAGAACTTATTTCAAGAAATGTATGTATTATAATAAATAATTTTAATTAACAAAAAACTCCTCAGCACAATGCATAATATAGGATGCTTCACCTAATAGCTTCTCTTAACAGGTAGATGCCACAGGTACTTGATATATAATAGAAATAAATGGTTTAGTGAATTCTGAGTATTGAAACATGCGTTTATATACCATCATGTTTGGCTTGTAAATTGGGGAGAGAATAATAACATTGTGAACTAAAGATGGCTTTGGAATATATTTTAAATATTTGATTATACTGATGTTACAAATTATATAGCATTCTTTGTTTTTTTCTTATTTTTTCTTCCATCTTTAGCTACACAGTCGCACCAGTGGTATTCTTGGGGCCCACCTAATATGCAGTGTAGATTATGTGCAATTTGTTGGCTTTATTGGAAAAAATATGGAGGCCTGAAAATGCCCACCCAGTCAGAAGAAGAGAAGTTATCTCCTAGCCCTACTACAGAGGTACATGAGCAGTAGTCTTTTTAGTGTTGAGAAATGTCATGTTTTTCAATGGCTAGATTATTCCTTGGAAACAGAAATATAGTAAAGTAAATATAGTATAGTAAAGTAAAAGTATAGTAAATTTTTAAAAATTTAAAAATGAGCAAAGTTGTTTGTATAGCTAAACATAGCAACACAATATTCAGGGCTGGTATGGAGAGCGGGGCAGGGAGAAATCAAGGTTTTTTAGGTATTCAGGAATATTGGTTTTGTGAGATCACTCAGACAAAAGAACAATGTATGTGGGAGGTGTTAGCACAAGTAGAGAGCTTACAAATTGTTTGTTTTAATTGCTTTTGAAAACAATTTGTAACCTTTACATACTATTGAAAATATGTCTTATTATGTGTAAAGTAATAAATAAAAAGTGAGCATTTTTTCTACCCCTGGCTATTGTATTGTGGAGGGGCAAGAAATTATAGACCCAATCTTGAGGTGAACAACAGTTTAAGTACGATTTTGATGAACTCCTCATAAATTGAAAATGTGAAGCACCTGTGTCTACCATAAGGCTACTACTATTTTTCAGTGCTGGATCTCAGGACTTCTTAATGTTAAAAAATAAACAACAACAACAAAACCAAAAATGGATTAACCCCCTTGGCAGTTTCTTAACTACTGTGACTTGTGATTTTGGATTATTATACAAAAGAAGAGTATTATACCCTCTGGCCCTCGCCTCCCTGTACAAAATGTTTTAGGTTACAAGGATTGCTTTTGTAATGCTCGAGTTCCAGCTATAGTTGTGCCCATCACCCAAATAGTATTCATTGTACCCATTAGGTAGGTTTTTGTCCCTCTTCTCCTCCCTTCTCCCCCCTGCTTGATTTCCACTGAATTTTACTTCCCTCTGTGCACATGTGTGCTCATGGGTTAGTTATAGTTTAATAGTGAGTATATGTGGTGTTTGTTTCTCCATTCTTGAGATATTTCATTTAGAAGAGTGGTCTCCAGTTCCATCCAGATTGTTACAAAAGGTATTAATTCATCTTTTTATGGCTGAGTAGTATTCCATGTTATACATATACCACATTTTATCAATCCACTCCTGAATTGGTGGGCACTTGGGTTGATTCCACATCTTTTGCAATTGTGAATTTTTTGCTGCAGTAAACTTTTGAGTGCAGGTGTCTTTCTGATGAAAAGTCTTCTTTTCCTTTGGGTATATAGCCAATAGTGGGATTGCTAGATGGTAGGTCTACTTTCAATTTCCTTCTCTACTCCCCACCTCCTGCCCCCAAATTTCACACTTTGTAATTCTCTTTTTTAGGGATAGGGTACTAAGTTATAGATGCTTCAGTGGAAGATTTAAAATTATATTTTTCTTTGAGCACGATGCAAATATTAATTTGTTTTGACAAGTTCTATTCTTTAAGTGTTGGTTGGTTTCTGATTTTGCAGGACCCCCGTGTTAGAAGTCATGTCTCCCGCCAGGCCATGCAGGGGATGCCAGTCCGAAACACTGGGAGTCCAAAGTCTGCAGTGAAGACCCGCCAAGCCTTCTTCCTTCATACTACATATTTCACAAAATTTGCTCGTCAGGTCTGCAAAAATACCCTCCGGCTGCGGCAGGCAGCAAGACGGCCGTTTGTTGCTATTAATTATGCTGCCATTAGGGCAGAATGTAAGATGCTTTTAAATTCTTAACCGTATATGTTGTGCTTCTGACCATTTTCACTCTTTTCCTCTCTCTCTCTCTTTCTCTTTCTTTTTTTGTTTGTTTGCAATAAACATAAGTTCTGTGTACAGCCTTTTATTTGGTTTATTTTTTTTAACATTGTTTTTGTCTGCTGCCATTTGTATCATGCCAACCTGAAAAAAACAAACAAAAAAAACATTGAGACCTCTGTAATCTTTATGAGAGAATAGTGCTCAGCAAAAGATTGCTGGGAAGTGAGCCTATCCAGTGGGGTTTGGGGATGGAATTGCCTAAAGAGCCCTTACTGAAGCACTTTTACCTCTTAGGGAGTGCCACGATCTAACTCCTAGCGGTGGTGTTATTATGACAAAACTCCGTAATTGAGACAGGACAGTCTGGTCTTATTTGCATTAGGTTTAAATAAAATTTGCCAATTTATACCAATTAGAAATTGTATGTCTTTGTAAACCTCTCATTTTCCTATAAACTTTTTACAGTTACCAATACAACATTATGGAAATTCACAGTGCCTCATAACAAATGCTGTATTTAGTAGAAGGCTTAGCAAATTATAAATAAATTTTAAAGTCATCTTTGGGTGAATTTTTGAAAGTACACGTATAGTTTTTTTAAAAAACTAGCAACTAAATTTATGGTTGAGCAGTCTATTTGGTTTGGTTTGTTTGGTTTCCATTTCATAATTGTGTCTCATATATATTACCACATAACATTTATATGACTTATTACTTGTATTTTCAACACATTCAGTCTTGCTTATGTCTCATATAAATTTTTGTTGTTGTTGTTAGAATGAAAATCTTATGTACCAATGAATTGTGGATTATTCTGTTATTACCATGTTTCTGAAAAAGTGTCCGTGATTTGTTTGTTAGCTCTGGAGTCACGTTCCTGGCCAGCATGTTAGAGCAGTGCAACTTTTTCCCCCTAAGCAATGAGAAAACTTGCTGTGTGGTTTAGCAGATTGGAAATCTTAAAGACATTCAGATGCTTTTTCTTTATCTGTGAGATAAGAAATCTCTTACGAGATATGCCACTATGATTTAAAGAGGGTATCTATAAAAGGCGTGATGACTGAAAAAACATTTTTTTGTTTTTAATGATAATCTTTAGCATAACAGTTGAAAGGCTGTAAAACCTCTAGGTAAAAGCTCAATAATAGGAAGAAAAGTGCCTTGTAAAAGGAATGGAAATTGGTAGTGGTGTTAGAGTTCCATGGGGGGTGGGGATTAGCTACATTAGATTCATGTATATTTGAAGAATTTAGGCTTATATATTTATGTTTTGTGGTAGCATTTCTGAGTTCATGGAGTTATGCTATCACTTTCTTACTCATTTTAAGGAACTGGAAGGTAAATAAATTCTTCCAAACTATCCAGCTGATTTAAAACATGTACACCTATATATAATTTCTTAAGTAAAAAGAATGATAAAACAGTTGAGAAGGAAAATATATGAAATTCTTCCATTAAAATTGACCGAGATACAGTGTCATCTTTGCATCCATTTCTCTGAGTGGAAAAGAAACCATCACCAACCTAATTGGCTCCTGAGGAAGCTTATGTTTCCTGTTAATTTTCAGTTAATTAGCACATAGTCTTTTTATTTTGATTATTTAGTGAAGTAGATTATTCTGTCACCTCATTCTAATTTTTCTCCCCTCCATTGAAGGTCCATGCTGCCAAAATAATCAAGATAAAATTACCTATAAGTATATAGATTATATATAATAATGATAGCAGTCACTTGTAAGATTCAGAACATGTTATTTTATTTTGTATTTACCTTCATTAGTCATTGAATTTTACATATAGAATCAGATTCTTAAAATAATTTTACCTTGAGTTTTAAAACAACAGTGTTTCAGTAGCCATCAAGTTATTTTCTCAGACGAGCAACTAATGAACTCTTAACTAGCATCTAATTGATTCTTGCATCATCTCCCTTTTTATATGTACATTGTTACAACCTCTTCTGCAGATCCCTTGATCTTGGCTTGTTAGTGAGATTAAGTGTTAATAACCTGGTGTCTATAGGCAACCATGTCTGTGGTCCACGAGGAGCATATAGATCTATTTTGAGTAAGCTTTCCTTGGTTTCTCAATAGCAGTATTAATTCCCACCCCCACCCTCAAAAAGGTTAAGAATTAATATGATGCAGTGTAAAGGTACTTTCAGGTCAGAACGTTGTAATTCTAAAAATATTGATGGATCAAGTATTCTAATTAATGCACTTTAGAGTAATATATCATTATGTTGGGAAAGGAAAGACGGTTTTCCCTGTGAGTTGAGACTTAGAAGCACTGTAGAAGTTGACCCCTTCTGTTGATTCTGACCTCAGCAGCACCATCACAGCCAGTGACATAGTTTAGGTTTATGGGATGATAAACTGGGTAACAGTGAAGAAGTGGGGAGCTAAGGAGATCAACTCCCAAGTTGACGGGGTGAACATAATTCTGAGTTCTTGACTTAACAGGGTAATCCCCGTGTAGAGGAAATTGGTTTAGGTTACAACTATACTCTTTGGCCCTTATTTTCATTGGGAAACCTATGTTGAGGCATATAGTATGGCAAAAGGGGGAATCTTTGCATATGCATAAAATATCTCCAAGAATATGTAAGAAGTAATAACATCTCTGGGAAGGGGAACTGGGAGGCTGATGATGGGAAGGAGATTTACCACCTTCATGCTTTTAAAACTTTTCAATTTGAACCATGGGAATGAATATATTTCCTATTTTTAAAAATTATTTAAAAACTGAAACATGGCCGGGCGCGGTGGCTCACGCCTGTAATCCCTAGCACTCTGGGAGGCCGAGGTGGGCGGATTGCTCAAGGTCAGGAGTTCAATACCAGCCTGAGCAAGAGGGAGACCCCGTCTCTACTATAAATAGAAAGAAATTAATTGGCCAACTAATATATATATAATTAGCCGGGCATGGTGGCGCATGCCTGTAGTCCCAGCTACTCAGGAGACTGAGGCAGAAGGATTACTTGAGCCCAGGAGTTTGAGGTTGCTGTGAGCTAGGCTGACGCCACGGCACTCACTATAGCCTGGGCAACAAGCGAGACTCTGTCTCAAAAAAAAAAAAACAAAAAACTGAAACATGGTATGACCCACATATGTTTAAGAATATATACATATAAGGTATGTGTAAGAAAAAGTGATTTCTTAAAACTGATTTCCCCAAATACCTAAATATTTATTTTAATAAACCTTTATATGTGAATATGTAAGTCTATGCCAAAAGTTACTAACATTAGTTAAATCCCTGAGCCAGTTCTACCGTGTAGATAGTGCTTAAAAATGAATTGGTTAAAAAAACAGTGGTAGACCAAAACCGAGAACATTGCGTAAAGTACTGTGTTCTTGACAAGATTTGTCGCCCAGCAGCAAGGCTGCAACACAACATCAAGTTAGCCATCCTGGATCTTCTCCTTGGTGCTCTAAGAATGCTATGATGAGATAACAGTGTTTCTCCTCTGTTACTGCCAGCAGACATTATTTCTGAGTCGCCCAGGTGACTTCCTCAAAGATCTACAAAATCGTCCAAATACCTCATTATCACAATTTGAGATACAGGATCCTCATAGGTTAAAATAGAAGTAGATGTATTAGCAGCATTCCATAGATGAAACTATTTTAGTATATGTGTTGCCAAAGCAAGCACATAGATGAAACTAATGTGCATAGAAAAGTAGATCTAAATGATTTGCCTTCCATCTTGGCAGCTTGCATAGATAGTTGAGTGGTTTGAGTTGATAACACACCAGACAGCAGTATTTGCCAGTGTGAAGTTATTTGGGAGGCACCTGGAGCTATTTTTATGTATGCAAATTTGACTTTGGAAGTATCCAAGACTCCCAGAGAAATTTATATTTCATGAGACTTTCCAGAGATTTCTTAGAAAAATTGTTATTAGTAATAGCATAAGCTTTTCTGAAATTTAAAGCTCTAAACATTAGGAGAGAACAGTTCGGGTTTGCTTCTTTTGGTGTTTTTGGTAGAGAGTTTATTTTTAATAAAAATTTGTTTTTGAATGGATACTTTAAATTCTTTTATAGGTACAAAATAGTTACAAAGCTCACTACATTCCCCATTCCTGATTTACCCTCTTCAGAGGTAACCATTATCACCATTGTCTTAAGTATCCAAAGGTATTCTATGCATCTGTAAGAATCTAAGTAGGTGTATTCTTTGTTTTTATACAAATGTTAACATACTGTCTATATAGACAGGTGTCTATATTGCTGTGCATCTTTTTGGTATTTACCATGTCAGTACATTGAGAACTATCTCCTATTTTGTCAGGAGCTTCAGAATCTTATTTTTTGTACCATAATTTAACCAGTTTCTTATTAAAGTTTTTAAGTTATTTCTAATCATTTTCTATTACAAATAATGTTGCAACAGATATCCAGATAACATTGTAAGGAATGTGTCTTACAAGATAGATCTCTAAAAGTCTGGGTCAAGGAACATGCAGTTTGAATTTTAAAAGTCATTACTCAGTTGTCCTCAGAAAAACTCCAGTTTACTCTCCCACCCACGTCTAGAGATGCTATTTGTCTAGAATCTTGCCAATAGTATTACTCATCTTTGAAACCCTTGACTGATTGACAAGTGACCTTAAAGTTTTATTAGCTTGCATTTCTCATTTTGAATGCATGTATTTGAAAGTCATTTTTATTTACTTTTTTGTAAACTGTTTTTGCCCTTGACCTATTTTGTTAGAAGTCTTATTGACTTGTGGGAACTTTTTATATTTTTAACAAAGTTAGTTCTTGAATTAACTTTGATATGTGATATGTGATGCAAATATTTCCCCTTTTCTGTCTTTAACTTTGTTTATTATATATTTGCCAAGCAGATTTTTTTAAAAAACGTAGCTGAATTTATCTAAAAAATTTTTATGGCACCTGGGATTTGTGTCTTGTTTAGAAATACCTTTACAGTTGTATGAAGGAATTCTACTGATGGTTTTATTTTGACAATGTTATTGAAAGCCCATGTAAAATATTTTTGTGAATTTAAAATCAATGTGTATAATTTTGCAGTTTCTATCTCACTTACAAAACACTGCAGGAAAAAAAGCCATGAGTTGCAATAAAGTATTAATAACAGCGTTTTCCCAGGTTTACCTCAAGGAGATATAGGTCATTCTTTAGGAACCTAAAGAAATGTGCCTGGTGCCCAGTCACGAGACTGGCGTGAGACTTGCGTGAGGTCCTCCCTCTGGGCAGATTTTGATTCCTTCTGGGTTCTTTGGGTATTTCTTGGGTTGCTTTCTTTATCTGTGCATTTCAAATACATACCTCTCTGTTTAAGTATAGTTAGGTAAGTCATTTGGAAGTGAGGACTGACTGACAGCTGCACCACTGTTTGGTTTGGCTTTGAGTGCAGACTTGGATTCCTTCTGGCTGACTCAGGTGTGGGCTACATAAGCCAGAGTATGACATTCCTTCAGGGCTGACTATATTTCTCCTACTGAATAGCTGCAACTTTTCTTATGTTAAACAGTGACCAGGTAGCCTTAGCACCTTTCCTTTTATTTCTTCATAATTGAGGCTGATCATTCTTGCCACCAGCTACTTTCTTCAAAATATAATAAGGATAAGTGAAATATGGATCCTTCTAAAGAGCTTTGATCTCCCTCTCAGGGCTGCTCTGTGATGTAAATTGTCAGTTGGAGCATCACATCATTAATCCTACTGGTTTAATGAGAAACTGGAAACAATATAGTTTTAAAATGAAATATCTTTGGCTATTGTGATAGGGTTGATTCTTGCTAAGGTTAATGGTAATATGCATCGATGTCTATCGATTGCAGCCCTGTCGGCAGTTCTCCGTTGGGTCTTACAGACTGAAGAGCAAACTTAATCTTATTACTAGTAATACAGTGATTGCTTTTGTCCAAGACTTTGAGGAGATAACCAAGATGATTCATTCAAGCCTTATTTTATTAATGGAGAAGAAAGAAAATTTTCTCTTTATCCCAAATATAATTGGAATTTCAGGTGAATTAGTAATATTAGCAAGAAATTATCTGATATTAACTCTCATGATTTGATATGTGTTTGATCCTTGCAGGGTTTGGTTTGGGTTACTTCCTGATGTTTATTTAGATTACTCCTCTGAAATATTACATTTCCGCCTATATCTTTATTACTATTCAAATACAGGTGAAAAGCTTCACGGCTTAGTACTTTATTTTTCCCATAGGAACCAAAAGTATAGGAAGAGGAGAAGTTGGATAATTTATAGTTATCAGTGGTTGCATCATAATTAGCCAGTGCTTATTAATGAATATTCACATCTCTGTCGTTTGAGGCTTTCTGCAGTGTTTTGTCTCTTTTAATGTTTTTTAAAAACTTTTCTTGATAAAAGACATGGCTAGATTCATGAAAAAGTCAATTTTTATTTTAAATTATTTGAGGTTCCAGAGCGAATTGTACATTTTAACACTAAAAGCACAATGAATTCCTGTGGATGTCAAAGAAAATTTCCTGTGTGTATACCTAGAAATGTAGTTTCAGTTTATAAAAGGAAAAATTCTCTAGTAGAACAGAAAACCTGTAGGACATTTCTGTTAAATATTTGAAGGCATGAACATACTAGAATCATACCAGCTAAAGCTGCTCTGTTAAGCTTTATGACAATGTCTGTGAAACCTTTAAAAAAAGGTTTGATATATAATTTGTCCCTTCAGACTCTTGTTTTTATAACTTAACTCTTTGGTATGAGAAACAGCCACATTACCCACCTACTCTTCCATCCTAATGACAGCTAATTACACCACACACAGTGTTTTTATTGTATGCTTTATTTTTCTCTACCTGAAATGTCATGATAGAGTATGAGTGTGATGAAAACTTTGCTGAGCTAATATGCATTCTCACAGAATCTTACTGTTCTGACTGATGGATGAAATACTCTGTCTGCACACAGGTAACTTTTAATCTCAGTGCTAATGATATCCTAGTAGGATATCAGGGATGGAAGACCAGTGATAAAACCAAATGATGCACTATTACCCTTGTGAGGCTGTCATCTAACAGAATTGAGTTTTGCCAAGATAGGTGAAGACTTCTCAGTTGATACCTACTCTGTCTAGAGCAGGGATGGCCAAGTGTGTAGCCTTTATCAGCTACCACATTTCTTCAGTGCCAGATTAATCTTATATTAGGACTGATTCCACCTTGTACTTCATGGGCATTTTTCTACCACAATGTAGAAATGCCATGGCTAGAAAGGAAGCATGTTAATTTCAGTTTTTAGGTGGATGCACACAGAAAGTGTGAATATGTAGAGCACATGTTAGCTATACCCACATGGGCTTTAAAGTGAGTATTTTCCATGTAAATTCGTCCTTGAGCATTGGGGAACCAGAAATAGAAGCAGTTTTCTCAAACCCCAAAGGAAATTGTGTGGGAATCTGGTGGCTATTTTGCACTGTTTTCCACTTGCACCTTTTATTTCTGCAGTGTGTGTAGTCTAGGTAGAGAATCTGCCTCATTGGTTGTCTCCATGTTTCTTTCTCTCCTCAGATGCAGACAGACATGCTGAGCTATCTGGAAGTCCACTGAAAAGCAAAAGCACTAGGAAACCTTTGGCATGTATCATTGGGTATTTAGGTGGGTATTTTCTAATAGAGAAAAAACTCAAAGAACAATTTCTGAATATTATAGATATTTGTCCATTCTAAATGGACATATCCAAACTAAATTCAAGCCTTTCAAATACCTGAAATCGGATGCCTTCAAATATATAGTCAGGTTATTTTGTTTTAGAAACTTTTGTTACCAACACAGTTATGGTATATGTTTACTTTTTTCAAAAAAATCATTGAGTAAAAAATGTATATTCATGAAAATAAATACAGGATTAAGTAAAAAGGGGAAAAAGAAAAGCATTCAATTATTCCTTTGGATAAATAGTCTTATATTTTAGATCTTTCCACTATTTCTAACACATTTCTTTTTTTTTTTTTTTTTTTTTGAGACAGAGTCTCACTCTGTTGTCCAGGCTAGAGTGCCTTGGTATCAACCTAGCTCATAGCAACCTCAAATTCCTGGGCTCAAGCGATCCTGCTGCCTCAGCCTCCTGAGTAGCTGGGACTACAGGCATGAGCCACCATGCCCAGCTAATTTTTTCTATGTATTTTTAATTGGCCAATTAATTTCTTTCTATTTTTAGTAGAGACTGGGTCTTGCTCTTGCTCAGGCTGGTCTAGAACTCCTGACCTCGAGCGATCCGCCCGTCTCGGTCTCCCAGAGTGCTAGGATTACAGGCGTGAGCCACCGCGCCCGTAACACATTTCACCTGTCCTTTTAAATAGAGAATTCTTTTTTAAGAAATGAGATCAAACTGATTTTTAACCTACCTTAAAAATATTTATAGTTTTGGTGTATTTAAGGGTACTTTGAAAGAGAAATCCTTGTATTGCTTTCCCATTCTTACCACACCATCCCACTCAGAAATCTCCAAAGGCAATGATTTCATTTACATGTTGAATTTCACAATTAAGACTAGCATAAGGCCGGGTGTGGTGGCTCAGGCCTGTAATCCTAGTACTCTGGGAGGCAGAGGTGGGAGGATCACTTGATATCAGGAGTTTGAGACCAGCTTGAGCAAGAGTGAGACCCCGTTTCTACAAAAAATAGAAAAAATTAGCTGGTTGTGGTGACACATGCCTGTATTGGGGGCATTTGGGAGGCTGAGGCAGGATTGCTTGAGCTTAGGAGTTTGAGGTTGCAGTGAGCTGTGATGACACCACTGTACTCTATCTAGCCTGGGAGACAGAGGGAGATTCTATCCCCCCCTCCAAATAGTATAAAAAATTACTAGGTAATAACCACAACTGCTTTTTCTAAAACAACATTTAAAATAAATAACTTACAAAATAATGGTTCCTCATATACCTAGAAGGAAGAATGGTATGTTTTCCTGCTTCTAATATTTCTTTTTCATTTTTTCAGTAAAGTGAGATTTGTACTCAGAGTTGCTTTGTCAGAAAGATTTATAATTATGAAGTGTTCAGATTTCAGACATCCAGTCTTTTAAAAATCAAAGTGTAGTCTTGAATTTGGTATTTTCTGGTCCTTATCAGAGTGTCCTAGGAGTCAGAGGCTCAAAGCTCCCTCTTTGTTGTTACTCTGCCACCTTATTTCTCCTTTTATTCCTCAGGGACTAAAGAGCTGCTTTGATTTCCCCTGAAAATATTACATGGTTTTTGTAAGCATGGCCTAGGTCATGGTGGTAATGTCCTTGAAGATAGCTGTCTCTATTTCTTTGTAGGACTGACTCTTGTAAATCCCTTCCTACCTTGCAAGAGAAAGCTTCTGATCATAAAAAATAGAATGTAGCATTGCCTATTAGCCTTTCCATGGATAATTGTGTGTTCTTTCTGTGGGCAAATTGGTCTCTATATGCACTAGATAAGCCCAAAACTGTGCTGTCCTTACTAGCTGAACCACATCCCTACACAGCTTATTTATGAGTATTTTTATATGTTCAAGATGCTGTATTAAGTGATTTGGGGAACACTAAGGTGAATAAGAACCTTGACCTCAAAAATCTTAGTCTAGTGGGGAAAGTATGCAGGTAAGAACGGTAAAACAAAGGATTAGATCCTATCAAAGAATTACAGGTAATATGCATTGGGCACTTGGAGGAAGGAATAATTATTTCTGATGAATGTTAGGCTGCTTGAAGAAAGTGTAGTTAATCTTCAGCCTTGAAGGACATTTAGGATGTGAATAGATGGAAAAATAGGAAAAGAGTATTTTCTTCCAGAGTGAGGCTAAGAGAACAGATGAACAAAGGCTTCAGTGAGTCTAAAGACCTGAATGCAGGTTGTCTGATCTGGATGGAGCGTAGGGTGTGGAGGTTGTAACAAAAAAAAAAAAAGTTGACAAACCTTCAATGCCATGTTGGGGGGAAAAATAACAATTTTGGGAGTAGTATTTAAGCCATGTATAAATTTTGGCAAGTGTAGGGTTTTGACCAGAGCAAGATGTAGTAATTCTAACAATCCCAATGGCTGTTCCTAAATTTCATTAAATAAGGCTGATATCTCACCCTCACCTTGGGCAGAAGGGTGCGTAGTCAAGAGTGGCTTGAATGTACTTGGTATGCTGGTTAAACTGGTTAAGCTTTGGAGAAAAGATTGCCTAGTATTAGTAATAGACTGAGGTTCTTAAATCCAGTTCCTCCAATATTGGAATTTCTGTCCATCTACAATAAGTGTAAGTAGTTCTGGGCTACATGGCAGACAACAATATATTTCACTTAAACACACATATACTACAGACACATTGTAGTTTTGTGATATATCCTTGGTAAAAGTGTTTCTTCTACCTCTCGGCTATTGTATTTGGACTTTGGTTTCAGATTTCATCTATGTCAAAATGTTCTAGGCTGGAAGTAATTGACCCTGGTCCCCTACCCCATTTGCAGAGCCAGAGAAGGAATCCTGTTTTTCAGAAAGCTCACACACCAGACATCCTGCCTGGTTTTGACAGAGCACAGAGGGTTTTTTTTCCTGAGGCTACCTCTCCAGATAACCTTTTGATTTCTAACATCTTGAAGAGTCAGATGCCTTATTCCCTTAGTAAATCTCCTGTTGTAAGTGACCTTCTGAAGTGGCTTTTTTTTTTCTCTTATATTGACAACCTGGGGCTCAGAGCTCTAGCCAGCAGGGGAAGAACCAGCTTACTTGATGAGCAAAGCCATGGCAACAACAGCACTTGAAGCTGATTCATTATGCAAGTCCATAGCTGGCTCATAAGGAACTGACTCTCAGCTCATTAAGAGATAAGATGTGTGCTTATTAGCCAATGTAAGTGCACACGGAGATTTTTAATGTCATGTTCTGAGTTGAGAAACCTTTCTTCCCCATCAGAGATCCATCCTGCGAAGAAACCTAACGTAATTCGATCTGCACCAAGCCTGCAAACGCCAGCTACCAAGCGGATGCTAACCACTCCGAATCACACGTCTCTGAGCATTCTGGGGAAAAGAAACTACAGTCATCACAATGGTCTGGATGGTATGTAAGCCCAGGAGTTCCGGAGGCTGTACTGTGCTGTGTGTGTCTGCCACGTCCAAGAGTGCATTACAAACAGGTTCTTCTACTCCATGATTCATCTAAATGTGTGGTAGGGGAATAAGGGGGAACACTGCCACTTGCCACATTTTGCCAGGGGATATTTCTCCATCTCATCAGAACATACCTTTTTGCTCACATCTATTAGGAGGCTGTTTGGAGATGAAGTCTGTATTTAGCAGGTTGCTTCTGCTGGGTAATAATGTTCTTGCTGTGATGCACACTTACTGTTCATTTAAGTTTTCTTAAGCAGAAGTGATTATTTTGCCTTATATCTGAGACATCAGTGTACTCTGGAGGCTCTTCAACATTCTGTGGATCATTCAGAATTTGGCATTTGTCCCCTACTTCTTCCACCTTATAAATTTTTTTAATTGTTCAAGAGTACTACAAGGCAATGAAGGAATTGCCTGGGTGATGTCCTAAATACAGAAATAATAATTTGTTTGAAATGATAAAACAGAAATACCACCTCTTATCCAAAGTATTTCTCTTGGGCTCAACCATATAATGACTCTTCAGGTGAGATTGAATTATCTTCACATTTGGACTATAAACACAACCATAATAAATCATCCAGGCAGTATATATTGTTCATTTCACTAGTCCTGGAGTTTAAAGCTGTCTTTATTGTTCAAGTGTTGGCATTTATTTATGAATAAAACTCTCTCCAGGCTTTTCATGCCTTACAGAATTCTTAAATTCCTTCAGTGACAGTAAATTATTTATAATGATGCCCTAGAGCAAAGATGCCGAATAGACCTTCTAATGATAATTTCTCATGGTCATTTTCCTTCCGTATGACTTTTTTGATGGTCATAATCATGTCAAAAATGAGGAAAAAATCGAGGGTGAGTACAGTTTGCATTTAAAAGGTATCAATGTGTTGTAGATACGGTTTTCAAGAATTTAGCTACACAGCAGTCATATAGAAACACTTTCCTGCTAATGAGAACATTGGCCATTCTTGCTACAATATGTCTGATGTCTAGACAGCAGAAAACCAAGGAAAGATTGTGTGAGATTGATTTCTTTCCAGCTTTTCCTTGCTCACAGCTTGGATTCAGGCTTAAATGGAACCTGGAATCTTTCTTTTCCATCTTATCACTTCTCCCTGAGCTTTCTAGGCATATAGTCCTGCTACAGAAAGCATAAAGTAAGTTCTGTTTCATTTTATGTGTGCGTGTATACACATACACACACCACAAACACACATTAATACATATTTACATATATATAACATATCGATTTTTTTCTTTATGATAAAAAGACTGTCACTGTTACTGATGTTGGCATAGCAGCTTTCTGGTATCTTCTTCCCCTCACACCCTGTGATCATTCTGGATCCCAGTCTTAGCCCTGCATTATAGCTTCTGTTGCTCTTTCCTCAGTCACAGATACTGGTTTCCTTGGAATCTCTTTAAAATGGCACCTTGTAGTGTTCTCTTTCTAGGGCTGGTTTGTCCCGTTTTCCTCTAGATGAACACTGCTATGATATCACTGCTTCTCTGCTCTGAACAAGGGGAATGGACAGGGCACACAAGGACATGAATCCTTGCTGTAATATAGATGGAAACTTCCAGGCTTTTTTTGGGAAAGACACCCATCTCATTTTCTGAAGAGACCTAGCTGCTGAAACACTTCTTTCTTCAAGACCCATTTGTCTTTGCTCTCCTGTCATGGTATGGAGAGAAAGACTGATGACGTGTGTGCCTGGCACTGTGCTAGCTCCCTTACTGTGTTACCTCATTTAATTCACATGACAGGAAGTTCTGGGAGGTCAGGGAATTTGTTTTGCACACCATTGCATCTCTGTGCCTAGCACAGTACCTGGCACTTACTAGGTGCTCAGTATATATTAATTGTATAAATGGAAGTGATTGGGCAAAACGAGACCCAGAGAGGTGAATTAGATTTTCCAAAGTTTCCAAGTACAGCGCAGATGGATTGGGATTCCCATTCAGATGTGATTGATTTCAGAATCTGTTCATTTAACCACTGTCATAAATTAAGTTGTGGCCTTTAAACATGCTGTATTAAGTTCTATCAGCGAATAGAAACTACACAAGTTATTTTAACAGCTAATTTAATATAGGAAGTCAATCTGACAGATACCGGAGGACAGAAGAGGTAAAGAGGGAACGTGGGAGGGGTACAGGAAACAGCCAGCACGCCTAGGGTTGGGAGAGCCCAAGCCAGAAGCTGGGGTTATCACAACCTAGCCCAAGCTCAGGGAGGGCCTGGAGGAGTCGGAGCCCAACCTTGAGGAGAAGGCCCCGTGCTGCCCGCGCAGGCATCTCAGGTGTGACAAGGCTGGTCTGGGACAAACTACCGCTGCTGGCTGGGGTGGTGCTGACCGGAAGGAGCAGGTCCTGCAGGCTCCCTCTAGCGACCTCTTCTGGCGTAGCAGGGAGGCTGGCGGCCGAGGAGGAATGTGTTGTAGAGTCCCACCCAGCCCCAGTGTCAGGAAGCGGAGTTCCGATGGGTGAGTGTGAGCTGAGATATAGGATCCTGACTAACCCGAGTTTCCAAGATGAATTCAAAGTCCTGGAAAAAATGTTTGCCTAATAGTGAGTTTTCATGGGGTAGTTATTACCATCAGGTACTGAAATAGATAGAAACAAACTCATGGGAAAGCTTTGCCCTGAGTGATCCAGTAATAAAATCAATTAGCATTGCTACTTAATTAACAGCCTGTCAGACAGATGAGCACACCAAACAGGATATTGATGGACAGAACTAATTTAACTGGAAACAAAACCTGGTTCTGCTGAAATGTTTAGGTCTTCAGCCTTTGGGCTTCCTGTCACCTGCAGTGGCTGGCCTCCACTCACCCTCCACCTTTGCATTGCAGGTTCTTGATGATGAAAAAGAGTGTCTGGCTTTCTACCAGCACAAAGAATTTCGCCTTGCTTTTTTTTTTGATGATAGACTACTTCTTATTGCCTCCCTGAAAGTCACTGTCTTTTACCTGTCCATAGGGAAGCCCCTGGTATGGACTGGGGGCAGGGAGTCAGCACTCTGTGTGTTCTGTTAGGCAACCCGATGGTCACACACAGACTCTGTGACCACGCTAATGGACCTTAAACTTCAAGGATAAAGATGAAATCTGCATATATAGGGAGCCTCAGTGCAGGGAGTCAGTAATGATAGGTAGAAAGAAAATTCAAAATTACCTACACAGTGCCTTGTCAGACTCCCTATGATTCAGTCTTTCACTTTAGGCTGTTGGTCCAGCAGTGTGCCATATGCCATTACAGTGATTTCCAAATCCTGTCTTCTCCATTTCTTCCACTGCTGACATTTTTATTGCCAGAAAATCAAGTACCATGTTTGGCCTACTTGGTTAATTCCAAGTGGCTGTTAGTAGGGAAGGCCCAGGGGTCACTAGGAATAGAAGAGCCATTATTGGAAAACTTTTCCATGTCTGAGAGCCCAAAAGAGAGGGCAGCAGAGGAGATAGAATTTGTCTCTTCCGTGGGGGGAAAAAAAGGACATCTGAGTGTTTGAAGTCAGATGGGATTAATTGCTTATATCTTTAATTACTTCTTGTGTGACCTTGGGTGAATCACATGGTTTCTTTGCACTAAGTTTTCTCCTCTGTAAATCTGTAAAGTACAGATTACATTTGCCTTAGAATTGATCTAATGATTGAAATATTTCATGTACTTTATTTCACTTAATCTTCAAACACTTTATGAGGTAGGTGTTATAACCTGCATTTTATTAATAGTAACAAAAAAAATGAAAGCTCAGAGAGGTTAAGGGATTTGTCTACAGTCACAGCTAGGAAGTAGTAGAGGTGGGATTTCTCCAAATCTAGGCCAGACGGGGTAGCTCATGCCTGTAATCCTAGCACTCTGGGTAGCTGAGGCAGGAGGATTGCTTGAGCCCAGGAATTTGAGGTTGCTGTGAGATAGGCTGACCCCATGGAACTCTAGCCTGGGTGACAGAGCATGACTCCATCTCAAAAAAAACTTCCAAATCTAGTGTTTTTTTTCCACCAAATGACTAAGGACCCAGATTGTGTGTTAAATGTGGCATATACAGACATACCTCAGAAATATTGCAGAATTGGTTCCAGGCCACTGCAATAAAGTGAGTCACATGAAATTTTTGGTTTCCTAGTGCATACAAAAATTATGTTTACACTATACTGTAGTAAGTGTGCAATAGCATTATGTCTAAAAAAACAATGTACATACCTTAACTTTAAAATTCTTTATTGCTAAAAAATGCTAATGATCATCTGAGCCTTCAGTGAGTTGTAATCTTTTTGCTGGTTGAAGGTCTTGCCTTGCTGCTGACTGATCAGGGTGATGGTTGCTGAAAGTTGGGGTGACTGTGGCAATTTCTTAAAATAAAACAACGATGAAGACTGCTGCATCAATGGACTGTTTCTTTTATGAAAGATTTATCTGTAGCATGGTGATGCTGTTTGATAGCATTTTACCCACAGTAGAACTTCTTTCAAAATTGGAGTCACTTCTCTCAAACCCTGTCGCTGCTTTGTCAACTAAGTTGATGTAAAATTTAAAATCCTTTGTTGTCATTTAACAATATTCATAGCATCAGCAATCTACCAGAGGTAGATTCCATCTCAAGAAACCAGTTTCTTGGCCGGGTGTGGTGGCTCACGCCTATAATCCTAGCACCCTGGGAGGCCGAGGCGGGCAGATTGCTCGAGGTCAGGAGTTTGAAACTAGCCTGAGCAAGAGCGAGACCCCGTCTCTACCATAAATATAAAGAAATTAATTGGCCAACTAATATATATATAGAAAAAATTAGCCGGGCATGGTGGTGCATGCCTGTAGTCCCAGCTACTCCGGAGGCTGAGGCAGCAGGATTACTTGAGCCTAGGAGTTTGAGGTTGCTGTGAGCTAGGCTGACACCACAGCACTCACTCTAGCCTGCGCAATAAAGTGAGACTCTGTCTCAAAAAA